ACCTTATTTTTATTTTCCAACTACTTTTATCATATGAGTTTGCACTCCACATAAAACCTTTGAATCTGCAGCAAAGTTAGCCAATATTGCTCCTATTCACTCTTTTTTGGTGTATTATTTCATCACAAAGAGAAGTAAAGCGAAATGATATTAATTACATACATAGGGATAACATAACATTTTTATTTAAGACAATTCAGTAGGGAAAACAAGATACGGAGTACATAAAACGATCGAGAGGGAGGTTTCATCTTGGGAGCATGAGAAATAAACCCGTATTATCGTATCGCACTCAATTAGGAAACAAATTATTTGCCGCCTCAGTGTTAGAAACTTAGAATATATTACGTAGTACTCCGTATATTGTACGAGTACTGCGTATATATCTTTGGGAGTTCTAGCTAGTGATGGCAACGGGGCGGATCGGGGACGGGTACACATAAAACCGAAACCGCCCCGTTGGATAAATGTTTGCCCCAAAACCGCCCCATTATCCGTTCGGGTAATTTTTATTTGAACCGTACCCGCCCCAATGGGGAATCGGTTTATCCACGGGTAACCGTTTCCCCAAATGATACCAAGTAATCATTTTTATAAAAAAAAAATAACCAATTTCTAATCCTACTTGTTATTTATATATTCAAAGCACCCTAAAACATACAAAGATAAATATTTAAGCAATCAAGCAGACTGACTTAAATTCATTAGTATGACATGCACCTAATATCTCTTGTAACATAATAAAAAAGTAGTAATCATCCTAGAATCCAAATTCCAAAAACAGGTTTAGACATATATTTAGTTTTAGGCCTAAAAAAGTACTCCGTAGTATACTTTTTAGCATTATTTATATGATATATATTGTTCTATTTAGTATACACAATTTAGCATATATACTTATTATTCTTATATATAAAAAGTAATAATTCATTAATAATGTTACGGATCGGGTAACGGTGCGGTTACCCGCACCATTAGTGAACGGGGCGGTTTCGGGGCGGATAACGGGGCGAATTAGTATAGAACCATAACCGCACCATTAACCATTTAAAAAATTCGGGTATTCCCCGCCCCGTACCCATTTCCCGGTCAAACCGGTTTTCCCCGGTTTGACCAAATCGGTTCGGTGCGGGTATCCAACGGGTCGGCCGAAAATGCCATCTCTAGTTCTAGCTACTTGTCAAATATATCTTCTAGTTATACCCGATATAATATACGAGTATTTACAAGGGAAATCACACTTTTGATTTCTCAATTAGTCACCGTATTAAAATGTAGATTCTTATTTTTGGGATTGTAAATGTCACCCTTAAATTGACAGATGTGTTGTAAATGTCATGTCCAATGCATTTATCTATAGTCTATAATTGGAGATGAATTATAAACGACTCGAATGACATTTACAACACATTTATCAATTGGGGGCGGTGACATTTACAATCACAGAAACACGAATCTAACATTTCAATATAGCGATTAATTGAGAGACCAAAATGCGATTCTCCTAATTTACAAATTTTATAACACTTAGACTTTTACAATGGACACGGATGCTTTCACGAGCATGATTTTTTAGAGATTAGATAACTCAACTGAAATATTATATTGCCTCTGAACTTCGGCAAATCACATTTCTTGGAGTAAAGCAGTTTCTTGGGATAGTTTAATACTCCCTCGGTCCCATTAGAAGGTTCAGTGGTTCACACTTTTCTGCTTGGACGTCCCATGTAAAGGTTCATATTTCCATTTTAGGAAACAATTAACGATCTCTTACATATAAGTTGTCAACCTCTTACAATGAAATAAATGATTTTGATGATGTGGAGAATTGTGCGTGAGTGGCTAACTTTCCAACTACTCCCTCCGTCCCATAATTATCTTCATTCTTTCTTTTTTGGTCCGTCCCAAATTTATCTCCTCTTTCCCTTTTTAGCAAAGGATTTGTGGTTCACAACCATTCTTACACATTTCTCTCTCCTCTGCACAACTCTCCACCACACATTTCCCACTTTCTTAATCTCCGTGCCCAGTCAAAACCGAAGTTAATTCTGGGACGGAGGGAGTACCAAATCTACTGCATTAAATGTAATTCCCGCCAATATCTTGGTTTCCCTCCAATCGGTCCGGACGAGCGTCCACCTGGTCTTGGGGCTCTGGACCCAAGTGTGGTCAAGGACGAGGGTCTGCTCATCCCACGCTGGTGGCTCCCCCCGAGGGTCCTAGGTCATCGCTTGGATCCATTTGACCAAGGACCAGGGCGTCGATCGTCTTCATTGGTTAGCCGAACGTTCTCCTGATTTCCATGTCGGACTATGTGTAGATTGGGCTTTACCGATTCTCTTGCAAAGGGTTATTGGGCCATTCCTCTATTGGGCCAATTAACCCAACACTTCAAAGAATGGCAACCCAGTATCGACATCTTTCTGCTTATCCACAGTAAAAAGATAGAAAGCTTTCATACGTATGTTTTAAAAGATAGAGATGGATTTTGAAATCCAAGGGGTTGAGGATATTTTGGATGGAATGTTTCATGCACTGAAATCTACTAGAATCCTTTAAAATTCATTAGAGAAAATAATAATTGGAATCCATGGAAAGATTGAGGACACCCTTATTTGAATGAAATCCACTAAACTCCAAAGAGAGAAAACCTAGATTGTGATGGATTTCTAAAATCCTTTAAAATCCATTAATTACGGTTCCCTTTTGTGTTAATTTAGCCAACTCAGCTTGATGGTCGACAAAGTGAGTGGTACTGAATCATTGTTGCACTTTTTCGAGGAAGTCATGCCATCCAAAGAGCATATTGTTTTTCTTTGTCCACCGATACCATTCAGGCGCCTCCTTTTCTAGACAGAATCCTGCAACTTGCAAACGTTGATCTTCTGGTGTCTTGTGAAAATTGAAACACTCTTGAATGTTGAAGATCCATTGTTGGGGGTCGTCACCACTAAACCTGGGAACATCTAGTTTCATAGTAGGCAGGTGAACTGGCAAGCCCGTCACAGGTGGTTCAGAATGAGTGTGGCGGCTTGGTTCTTCCACCCGGAGTGCTGTATCTCTCCCGGAAGACATTTGTAACCGTGCTTCTAAGGTGGCGGTCAAAGCATGGATCTGTTCTTCAATTTGGCTCTGAAGTCGGGCTTCTTGATTCGCTAACTGTTCAGAGAGGTGGCATTCAAATTTCTCAAAAAGGTGAGAAAGGTTGGAAGGGTCGAACGGAGAACCGCTTTTGTCGGGCATGGTGGCTGATGGAGTCGATGAAAGCACCAGTGATACCCAAGCAGTATCAGAAGTCCCTGTTTTGAGTAAGGGATCAACTCCAGGAAGATTTAGCAAGGAAGGAAAAGAATGAAATTGAAGTATTCATTCATGCCAGGAGATGATATCTCTGGTTCTTTAAATACAATAAACAATAAACTGAACTTAGGGAAAGAAACAAGCGACTACTAGTAACTGCAATACATTATTTAATGCAAAATAAAATCATTTAGTCTGGATGGTAACTTCCTTATGCGTCCACGTACTCTTCTTAACTGTCTCCTGAATTGGTGTTGTGCTTGTTATGGGTGTAGTGGCGTGTGGTCCTTGTGGAATATCAGTGAGTGTATCACATTTATCAGTAGTCTAGAATTGGAGGGGAATTGTAAATGACATGAATGACATTTAACAAATTTGTCAATTCAAGGTGAATTTACTATTACAAAAACACATGTTAGGTCTGACATTTCAATATTGCGATTAATTGAGGCGCCAAAAATGTGATTCTCCCAATTTACAAATATATTCTCACACTTAGCTTTTACAATTGACACGAATGCTTTTATGAGCGCGATTGTTTTTAGAGATTAGATAACTCAACTGAAATATTATACGGAGTATTGCCTATGAACTTCAGCAAATTACTTTTCTTTCTTTAAGTAGAGCAGTTTTTGGGTAGTTTAATACACCGTACGTGGTAGTGGTAGTACAGATTTGAATATGAGTAGGATTGAAGAGACACATAAAGAAACCCAAATTTGAGAAATGCTAGAGGTACCCCATTTTCTACCCCATTTTGTACCCCATCCTATGTTTGTGGCTCACAACAATCCAACCGAATTAAAATAATTGCTCCATTTTTACTCATTACTTTTGTGAACCACAAACATAGGATGGGGTACAAAATGGGGTAGCTTTAGCATTAGTGCCCAAATTTAGGATGGATGAGGGGCTAGCACACTCCTAGGAGTCCTAGCTACGTCCCTGATGATATATGAGTAGGGGTGGGCGCGGTCCGGAACGGTCCGGGAAATTAATAAAACCCGTAATGTATCCGTGAGGTTTCTAAGGGTCCGGAGAATTAATATTATTGATACGTAGAAAAAAAAAATATTGATACGTAGATTGGGTGGTAGAGTACGTAACATTAAATTAGTGCAACTATGAAGGCCGGCCTATGGGCAACCTGAATTCCAGAGAGGCTCGAACTGTCCGTGAATATGAACTGTCCAGGTTCGTTGTGCATTTCTGCAACATCTGAACTTTCTGATCTCACCGTATATCTACAGAACCATGCAAAACTTTCATTTGTCACTTTGTCCCTCAAACAGTGAACCGCAAACACTGACAAATATGAAGTTACTTTATGCCCATTTCGTTTACAACCCTGCTGTTGGTACCCCGATTCAGAGGCGGACCCACTAAGGGTCCCACGGGGTCCCGGGACCCCGTGCACCTCAAAAAAAAAAAATACTCCCTCCGTCTCATAATTATCTTCATTCTTTCCTTTTTGGTCCGTCCCAAATTTATCTCCTCTTTACTTTTTTAGCAAAGGATTTGTGGTTCACAACCATTCTTACACATTTCTCTCTCCTCTGCACAACTCTCCACCACACATTTCCCACTTTCTTAATCTCCGTGCCCAGTCAAAACCGAAGTTAATTCTGGGACGGAGGGAGTACCTATATATTATATATATTATAAAAAAAAATAGTTATGCAATGTATATTTACACAAAAGCACGACCTAAGTACCTAAGGAATGGAGCGGCGGAACGGGATGATGGGGGAATTGAAGCTTTCCAAGTTGCGGGAGGTATGGCGTTCGAATCCCTTGAGCTCCTTATTTTTTTGCAAAATTATTTTATTTTAATAGACCAAAACTACGTCGTTTTCGCCTGTGTATTTTTTTAACTGCTGCCAATCCTTAAACGCAGTTAGGCAGCGGCAGAGTAATCGATTGATTTCCTACGCGGCTAAGCCTTTGCACGACGTTCCGCCTCCAGCCCCGCTCAACGCCGCCGTGCGGTGCCGTCAAAGACCGGGCGCGCGCGCCCACCACTCCACGCCGCACTCGCGGACTCTCCCTGTCTGTCGCCCAGGTTTTTTATTTTTTTTCTTTGCTGCTTTGCTTTTTTTTAATGTTTGATTAAATTAATAAATTTATGTATTTATAAATGTTATATTTCGATTTTATATGATTTAGGATGAAAAGATATTTTGATGTTGTGCCCAAATTTAAAGAAACTCAGAGTACCGGAAGTAGTTCAGGTATTAATTCAAACGATTCGCCATTAGTAAATGAAGAATTGGATCAAGTAAATGCAGAAAGTGAAGCTAATTTGGCTTATAATCTACCTGAACAACATGAGGATTTTGAATCTTTGGAAGCTAATCCTGGATTGAGAAAAAGAATTGCTGATTTTCACCCTAATGTTCAAGACGAGGTACGTCGTAGTTACATTCAAAAGGACCGTTTTAACCTCGTGATCATGATTTCCCTTTTAAGGTAATTGGAGGCAAAAAACGTAGACTTGTTTCAAGTTGGTTTGATGAGCATAAATGGTTGAATGATTGCTTAGTTACATATGTTGAGAGAGATGTTTTTGGTACTATTAGTGATGATTCTATTATAGAATACTTCCAACAAATGAAGCCTAGGAGGGTACATCTATAGAATTGTTGAATGATTTTTATATGTAATTTTTTGCTTTGTAATATATTAATGTTTTGATGGTGTACATTAACTTTGAAGTGTTATGCTTCTTTAATATTTTTTTTATTAGTTTTATAATAATTAGAGATTAGCGATATAAAAGGGTAGGGACCCCGTGGTTCCGATTTTGTGGGTCCGCCACTGCCCCGATTGGTACACTAATTTGTACCCCAACCTATTTTTGTGGCTAACAAAACCCACCTCAATAAATGAATTGCCCCACTTTAATGAGGTGCTTTTGTGAGCCACAAAAATAGGGTGGGGGTACAAATTGAGGTATCAATTGGGGTACCTTTAGCATTTTTCTTTCGTTTATATATATTGTCACAACAATATCTTTGAGCTCCAACATAAGACATATCACTACGTACTACCTCTATTCTTAAATAAGTGCAACATATTAAATTTTACACTATTCACAAGCTCTACTTTGATACATTTTATTTATTGATGTATTAATATATATTTTTGAAACAAATATTACTAAATTTGTCTCATTGTAAATTTGCAAAATCTGATTTTTTTTAGTATTTTTTACTAATAGAGAGTTATAAATATTGATGGTCAAAGTTGTACCTCGACAAATGTGAAATGTTGACTATTGCATTTATTTAAGAACCGAGGAAATAAAAATTTCATGTAAAAATATTTAGTATAAAAAGTTAACTATGGCTGGGTGGGTATATGTTTCGTTTATTAGGTAGATCTTTAGCTAACACTATTAGGAGAATTTAGATCTTCAAATTTGACTCCAGAACTCTCCAAGTCATGGGAGGAGCTAGGGGAGGGCCATCCCTGGCCCTGGCCCAGCCCAAATTTTAAAAATGTCTGTATTTTTAGTGTAAAAAATCTCGTGTAAAAAATTTTCAAAAAATATTCTTTGTACCAGCCCAGACCGGCCTAGTGCTCTAGCTCCGCCCCTGCTCCAAGTATTAGAAGGTAACTATCAATCAGATTAGAATGAGCTTATGAGCACACAAACATATTATCGAACTAAACCAAGCATTCCAGCTCAGCTGGTTGTGAGGTTACCGTGCCTAGTGGGGAGTCTTGAGTTCGAAACCTACTGGGCATATAGGGGGTTGAAACTCAATGGAGTGAGTTTCAACCCTTATTACTACGGGCTCCCCCAGCCCCCCCCCTCCCCCACAGGGCCGTCTAGAGCAATTATGAGGCCCTAGACAATCATATACTACCTCCGTCCCACTAAGAATGGGACGGAAGAAGGTGGCACGATTATTAAGAAAGGTGGGTTTGTGTGGTTGATATTAAATTGATAAAGTAAGAATAAAGTAAGAATGATTTAGAGCCACACAATCTTTACCAAATTTGGTATGGGACAATCTTAGTGGGACTTCCCGAAAAGGTAAAATGGGACAATCTTAGCGGGACGGAGGGAGTATTTTGTTCAAATGAAATATAAGTGAATTATAGATGAAATGTATCATATAATATTAATTTAAAGGGAGTATTCTTCAAAACCAAAAGATCCAAAATTGATAAAAAATGGATTATGTATAGTAGCGATCCATAGAGTTAGCAAGCGATTTATAATCATGTCCTTTTTTAATTTGTTCTTTCTCTTTGTACATCTCGAGTCATGTTTTCTTTTTCTCGTCACCAATTTCATACAACTTCATACAATTTCTAACTAGATAAAGTTTTTCTAACTTTCATTATTCAATAATACAAGTACAATTAATCAATTGTAGAAATACACAATAAATTAAATGACTAGATTGAATTATTATTATTATTTGGATTTTGGTTTATTGTAATAGAATGATACACCCAATACTTAATAGCCTAGACCCTACACCGCCTATTACTATACCTACTGCCATAACCGATTAAGTAGTAAAAAAATTAATAATTGAAGGTAAACAAATTAAAAGATAAATCAATAAAATCAATAAAGGAAGGATTTGAAGCTGCCAAAAACAAAGAAAGTCAAGAAAGTTAGAAATTACAAAAGTCGCGAAGACCATTACGGCATTACGGAAACAGATGCCTCGACTCTTTCGCAGGTTTTTACTTGATATAGGAGATATTTTATCACAATTAACAATTTAAATTAAACATACATATATACTCAGTAATATATATGGACTTACATAAAAAATGGGAGGCCCCATTAATTTGAGGGCCATAGACAATTGTCTAGGCTGCATGCCCCCATGGCCGGCCCTGCTCCCCCAGACCCCCCTGGAGTAAAAAAAACATATGATCAAACTATATAAATTCATTTTACAAAATTCGTAATCTTGGTAATGTTATGTCGATGATGAAGGGAAAAAAGTACATGCATCACTTTGATCATTCAAGAATGTAAAGATCGAATTGTGATAAGGTGACAACTCCGGTACCTTTTAAAAAAAATAGGGTGCCGTACCTACCATTCATTTGATTGGATCACATCATTTTATCATTTTTAATTTAGATTTAAATAATTCAACTGCTACATTCTCATTGATCCATGTGGACAAATGTATGGTACATTATGGATACCATAGAATCTACCTTGTGATAAACGATATTTGAATAATTGAGTGCTTGAATCTCAATTTGTGTAACCACTAGTAGAGGACCCGTTTGTTTGGCTTTCATTATACCCGGAGTACATCATAAAACATGGATGAACTCGAAATGAAAGATCTAAATTTTATGTCAAAACAAACGTCCGTACACTGTTGATCTTAAGGAATCCCTTAATCTTAGTATGAGTGGTTTGTCGTTCATTGTTTGGAATTTGGCGAGACAAATGAAGATACCTCAAAACCTTTGGCTCTATGGTATGATTAAGAAAAATCAGCAGCTGCCGATAATCCCCCCAACACGAAATCTGGACCGTTGGTTTCGATGGGCAGGCTCTCTGGAGTGCAGGTTTTCCAGTGAGGATATACGTACAGCGTACTCTGCCACCCGCCCGATTCATTTTACTTTGGTTTTATTTGGATCCAATAATGCACACAGGTGCACGTATTTAACTTACTCCAGATAATATATTTTTTTTTTCATATTTTTACAATAATAATGTCTCTTGGATATATACTCCGTATTATAGGTTGATAAAAATATTGCGAACCCATAATCTCATGTATAGACAACATTTGATATTGGGCATTTGGCAATGATATTAATTACTACGTAAAGTACGTAGTATATGGATATAATCCGGTCAGCTAAAACTATAATTAAACGTAGCAATATTATCATTTCCTCCCTCCGTCCCTCTTTTAATGTCCCGTTTTATCATATAAGGTTGTCCCTATTTAATTGTCACATATCTTAATTGATAAAGTTTGTGTAGCTCAAAATCATTCTTACTTTATTTTTACTTTATCAATTAATATCAACCACACAAACCCACTTTTCTTAAAACTCTTGCCACTCTCTTTCGTCTCAATATAAAAGGGACGGAGGTAGTATAAGTTAATATTAAAGTTAAAATGTGAATATACTTTATATTAATAATGAGTCTAGCAATGTTTTTTTTATATATTTGGAACTTTTCCTTAAAGCTAAGTAAATTGATAAGTTACATAAAATATGACACTTTACTTAGAGGATGACACGGGGAGTCAGTATGGAAAATGATTGAGTACATACTTTTGTACACTTAGTCACAAAGGTAATTATTATCTATTCACTAGTGAAAAAACAATAACTTGCCGCACGTAATAAGGCGACGATTTCTTAATAACTGCCACAAATATAAATAAAAACACACACTAGCTATTGTAGCACCATATAAATTACCACAAAGTGTCAATTGTAGCATCCATTTTGTAGCACCATATAAATTACCACAATAAAATATATATTGTAATATTATTGCAGGGCCGGCCTAGGGCATGACTGCCCAGTCCAACCGCACAGCGCCCAGAATTTTGGAAGGCCCAAAAAATTAGTATTAGGACTCAGCCCAAATTCATCGGCCCAACTTTAACCCATCGGCCATCAACTTGCGCCCAAAATCCCCAAACCAAACTCCCGACTCCATCTTCGATCAGACGCCCAACCATGCCGCAAACTGTGCCCCACTTCTCGGAAATCAGGACTGAAGGACGACGATTGGATTTGTATGCAAGACAAGAGCACTTTCGCGCTGCTCCCACCGCTAGAGTGAACAGGTAAGAGCCCTGATTTGAGATGGAAGCGGAAAAAGGTCATGGGCCCCACCGGCACCAATGCTTGTGATTTCAAATATATTGGTTGGAAACAACCATCAACTGGATCGGGGCATCCCTATTTACAAGCGTCAGTCATGCTCGAATCTATAGAAACCACACTAACGTGAAATATATTCTTTAAATGAAATGTATCTATTTGGAGAGTTCGACTCAGAATTTCACCCATATCTAATTGAGGATCATGAATAGACTATCAAACATAATTTCTTAGCCTCAAACCCCCCCTAAATCTATCACAAATGAATCATTCAATCCTGAATCAATTTATAACCATTATATTTGTAAAGGAAGTACTTGGAGAATCTAAAGGATGTCTGTCACCCAAAAAGGACACGTCTTGGTGGAATGATGAGGTGAAACAAGCCATAAGAAACAAGAGAGATTGCTACAAAAAGCTGGGGAAAAGTCGGAGTGATGAGAACATAGAAGCATACAAGGAGGCTAGAAGACAAGCAAAGAAAGCCGTAAAGGAAGCACAAGGGAAAGTGAACAATGAGTTGTATGAAAAAATGGACTCTAAGGAAGGAGAACAAAATATCTATAGACTTGCTCGTGTTCGTGATCGCAGGACTCAAGATATCGGAAAAGTTAAGTGTGTGAAGGAGGTCGATCAAAGGATATTAATGGAGGACAGAGAGATAAAAGAGAGGTGGAGGTCATACTTTGACACATTGTTCAACGGGAACAAAGTGCAAGATATCGGTGATTTGAACATACTAGATTGTATGGTAAATCGTGATTTTGTGAGAAGGATCCAACCAACGGAAGTTAAAGAGGCTCTGAGGAAGATGGGGCGGAAGAAAGCAATGGGTCCAGATGGCATACCGATCGA